GGGGGGGGGAAGAGATAGGGTCCCATCTCCATTCTTTCAGCAATTCCAAGAAAATTCCATACCATTTGCATTCGGATTCAGGTGACCCTGAGGACACAGATAAACCTTATAGTCCTTTTAAAGGCATAAGTTGAGTACTTTGAAACTGTATAGAAATATAGTTGTGTTTTAATTAACTAAATTTATCTCTATGTATCATTTTGTTCAGGTGATGTAGATAGTACTCTCTTCCATTTTTCAATTTTGCATGGAAGTTTTTGATATTTAAAATAAATTCTCTCAATTTTTGTAATATCAGTTTTCCCCTTTATCTGCTAATTCCTTTCTTATTATTACTGGTTTTTATTTTACACTGCCCAGGGAATATTTAAAGGAACTGTATTTATTTTTGGGGAACAGTCTTAAATATCAAACTAGAATGGCATAATCTGGATTCCAATAGCTAGCTAGTAATTAAGCTTGCTGATAACATTGTACTAGTCACTATTTCTCAGCCTGTTTCATTATGCTTGGAATAATAAAAGAGGAACATAAGGGAGGATAAATATGTTGTCTAGAGCTGTGTAATCCTTAGGAAAAAGTGTTAATATGCTGCTTTAACAGTTTTAATAAGTTTTGCAAGTGCTCCTTTGAATCATAAGCACAGCCCTAATATATGTTTTCCTGAACTCTTTCTATAAAGGGAAAGACAAACATGTAACACAATACCATTGCTATTTTTTTGTCTTAGGGTTGTTCCTCATGGAGCAAATAATGCTTTCACTATGCCCGTGAAATTGAGCTTTTGGGGAAAAGAAGAGAATAAGCAAGCACTTCTAGAAAGACTAAAAATGCATGGATTAAAGTTAGCACCGCCAGGAAAATGTAAGTTAAAACTTACGTTGTCATTAATCAAAATATGAAGGACTTTCTCATATAAATAAAAAAAAACTAAATATAATATCCAAACATTTACTAGTTCTCATTTTTTCAATGGCATTCAGTTTCAGGGTTTGGTTTTGAGACTGGCAGAACATCTGGCGGAGGTAGAACTTGTTACAATGCTCCAAGCCATGGTGCTATCCAAATGACAACTGAACAGGTATTACTACTCATGCTTGTTATAAAAATAGTAAATAGCAATAGCACTTAGATTTATATACTGCTTTACAGCACTCTGAGCAGTTTACAGAGTCAGCATATTGCCCCCTGCAATTTGGCTTCTCATTTTATCGACCTCGGAAAGATGGATGGCTGGGTCAACGGTGTGCTGCTCAGAATCAAACTCTGGGCAGTGGGCAGTCAGCCAGTAATACTGCATTCTAACCACTATACCACCACAGTTCTTGGAGCCAAGCAACTCTTTATAGAGTTGTGTGCTAAAAGAAGTAGACAGGGAATGTCAAGTCTGCTGACTACAAGATCATTTCTCTTTCCTTGAGCAATGAAAGGCATGGACTGGTCACACCAAATTGCTCTGCCTCTATCTTGAGAAAACAATGTTGTCAGTCAGTCACCAAGTGAATAGAGTTAGGTCGA